TATTTAATATATAATATATATATATATATATATATATAACATATAAAAAGATTTACAACATAATATTTTAATTTCTATTATACTATTCTATAATTTGTATTAAAATTTAAAAATGTACAAGTTTATTAATATAGAATTATAATTTTAATATGTATTAATAGATATATTGATTTCATTATTAAAAATTTATGTAATATAATGTCATGATAACTTCTTATAATTAATTGAATTTTAATGAATGGAATTTATATTATTATATAATATTCACATAATAGTTGACTATTAAAATAATGTACAGGATATTAATATAATTATGAAACATTTTTGAAGGATCGATTTTAAACAAAAGTTAATATATAAAAATATCAATTGAATTTTATTTATTAAATTATAAGCAATTTAAATTTATATTAGATAAAATAAGATAGAAATAATGCGATAACAATGTAATGGAGATAATAAATTCATTCTATTTTCATCTCGCTTATAATATAAACTTAAATTGCTTATAACTTAATAATAAAATAATAAATTCAATTAACGTTTTTATATATTAATTTTTATATTTGTTTAGCCTTCTAAAATCAATCTTCCAAAAATGTACCACAAATATATTAATATCCTGTATATAATAATAATAAATAGCATTTTTAAATAGATATAAAAAAATATTTAAAAAAAATGAATAAATAAAATTTATTCTGAGATATCATATGAAATAGAATCATAATTTATATTCTGTATGGAAGTACTTTTTAAGAATTAAATTGGTTACGTATGTCTAATTTCCAAGAGAAGGTCCTTGGCCTTACAGATACGAAGGCGTCGAATATTCGTGAATGAATCTTCTTTCTGCAGTGACGTCACTGGTTGCCATTAGTTCATCGAGTTGCTTATGAGAAAAGCGCGATCTATGAAAGAGCGCTTGCGCTTTTCAAAATAACTTGCTGCGCGGCGCTCTTGGGCTTTCCAATGGAGACTTGATGAAAGCTCCACTGTCCTTTCGTTCACAACTAGAATCTCATTGCGACCAGACGAAATGCGACCGTATCTATCTGCAGAGTATTTTTTCAAGAAAGTTAAACGGCTACGAAATTGTAAAAACATTTAACAAGCAATCGGAAGGTAAAGACGAAGAAACTTCCTCATCGTATGTCCTGGTGCGTGATACATATATTGTGAAATTTCGAATAACGTGCAACGATTTTTGAAAAGATAAAGGAAATTTTTGGAAGTTTACGCTATATTTTTCCTGTTAGTTAATCATCTACATATATGAGCATTTTGTTTTTGATTGATCAATAACCGTGAATTAGGTCGTTCACAAGTTGC